GAGCATTAGGTCAACAACATTGTTTGGATGCTGCGTTTCCATTGGGGTTAGATGCAAGATGTCACCCTCATTGGAAGATAAGCTTTGGAGCGTCAGTTCAACACCATTAGGTACATGGGGCGTGAGTACATGGGGCGTGGGTACATGGTTGCATGGGACTCGCGCGGCACTCGCGACAGGGTCGAAAAGACTCGCGTGGCACTCGCGCCAGCCTCACCATGTTTCCTTTAGTGATCTTTTCCACATGAAGGTCATTAATGCACAGCTCTTGAAGAGCAAAGCAAGCAGGGCAGCATGCTGCATCTATGTTTAGGGGGTAATCTTCACCATAGTCCTAACCTTGCGTTCTGATTGGGGTTTGGTCACCAAAACGCTGCAAACTTCGACATCAAACTAGTTCTTTCCTGCACAGGGGCAGTGAATTCTTGATGTATAGCAGTTTTGACAAACATGCTTCCGTAGAGCGTTTACATTGTGTTTTAACATAAACCGGGTGACTTTTCGCGAGCCGGGTGACTTTTGACTAATGCTGCGTTTCCATGCGGCCGGGTGACTTTCTGCAAACCCGGGTGACTAAACCCTAGCGCTAGTATGCTGGACATGTCCTGATGCAGTTTGTAAATACAATGAAGTCTATCTCTACAAGATGATAGCACAGCAGAAGTCTCATAGAACTGATACAAATACTCCTGATAGTATAACAGTATACATGCGAATGCCAAAGTTTCTGATTCTTTTCTTCAGCTAGGAATCATTTGGTGAGATCATCCTGGTCGAGGCAAAGACAGTATTGGAAAGCTAAGTGTGGTGCTCTTAGAGCGCAAGTTCGCCAATTGGAGGCAAGGAAGGTAAGTGGCTTGCCTGGGGACAAACGGAGGAGGCATCAGACGACGAGTTGATAAAGCTCTATTGTGGCGGGCCAGATGCACGCATCAACACGAATATGCACTGGCCTTGGAAAGCCAAAGCAGTACAATCAACTTTGCTGAAGAGTGCCTACTATGTAGAAGATCGCCAGAAGCTTCTGCAGACTCCACCCATGTGCTCCTTTCCTCGTGGACCGCGCGTCCTTGGAAGATATTCCGCCAACCTTGGATGCAAGCAAGTTTGCCTTCGTTTTTGTGTGTTGATCGCTGAGCTTTGGGCAAAGGCGTGTCCGTGATAGAGCTCAATTGCGGATTGGCATGGTTGCAGCAACCTGCCCAAAATCTTGCAGGACAAAGTTGAAGTGGCCAAGAAATCGACAGTCGTCCAGGAGAGGGCCAAAGGCCTCACTCCTCGGTCAGGCTCAACGCCATCGGATGCGTCCCCAACAGAGCACGTTGCATTGTAGCACCTTTGTTTCCTGTGGGCTGGTTCTGCCCATCATCATTCGTCTCCTGCAAGATTTCATTTTCAAAAGGGTGGAAGAGATGTCAGGTTTCTGAGACTGGAACACACCCGCCTGCCACGACAAAGCCTCGGCAGAAGAGATCGCACAGTCCATGAAAGCTGCCATTGACAATGGCCGCTACCATATCGAGGACCCACCCGACCCGGACCTGGAATCGTTCTGGTTTTGGACCTATGTTGCCAACTCTGGATTTACACAGGGCCTGGCAGATAGAGCATCCACAAGCGGTGGTAGACGAATTCATCGCGAGCGTGCGTCAAGCATGCCGTGAAAAGCCTTTTCAGCAACGAGGCCTTCGAGCACATTGGTTCTTGTTGCAAGTCCTTGAGGGAAGAGTTTGTGGGTTCTGTGACAGAAAAGTGGCCGAGGGTTAGAACTATTTGCAATCGATTGGCTGCATGCTCGCTCCCGCAGGAGTTGTAGACGAGATTGCCAACCATTTGCTTAAAGTTGGCAAAGGCAGGTGGTAAGATTCTTTTAAAACGCGCGTTTCACATTTTGCTTCCCCACATACCACACGGTCCGCAAGCCCAGTTTGTATGACCTCAGGATTGCATTTGAGGCCTTGCGTGTGCTCGCGCTCCGACAGACTATCTCACTGGCGGGTTGCAGGTTTGGCCACAAGGTCCCGCAAGCCCTGGCCCCGCGCTTCCCCACATATGACCCGCTTCTCCATCACCTCAAGATTTTGACGAGCTTTCATCAGAAATATACTTCTGGCATGGTTCGATGACTGTGTGGAGCTGCCAGCCTTTGCAGCAGAGTCATTGGAGAAACTCATGCGCCACTTTACACTATAAAAAGCACAGTTCTCTTGCGGGAGGCGGCGCTCCACTGGGAGTTGGCTTCATCAAGACGATCCTGCCAGAACTGGAGGTCCTCTACAGTCAAGAGTGTGCAGCAGAGGGCGCGTGAGCCCGAAGCTCCCACTCACAACAACACCAGCTCCAGGAAGTTCTGATATGGCCACCCCAGTCATACAAGAGGAGGCAAAAGAGCAGGAGTCTGTCTTCGCCAAAAAGAAGCAGAGTGAGATCAGCAATATGGCCAAGGAGTTCCTGAACAAGAGCTGCTTCATGGTGCATTGGGGACACAAGGTGCTAAAGATTGGGCGGCAAAGCTGGTGTGGAATGCCGGCTTGGACGCTACCAAAGACCTACCTGCCAAGATGAGCTCCTACAGAATGAAGGCGTCAGCAGATGAAGACCGGATGCAGAATGCCGACATCACCACGCGGCTCACGGGCGAGCCTGACGCTGCGCCTTTCACCCCTGGGAAGAACATGGAAGAACAACATGGTTGCCAAGGATGTCAAGGTCTTGCAAACTCGCAGGCCAAAGCTTGGAACCAAGGAGCTTGTGATGGAGCCGGATGAGCAAGTCTACCTGCAAGCAGTGCATGGCGAGAACCGCTTTAGTGTAGGCAGCATCGACCCGAAGGACACTTACTTCCATGTCATCAAGACACCGGGCAAGTGGAAGGACCGTAAGCCACTGCGAGACGATTTGTCCCTGGCAATGCTGCCTTCAAAAACATGTCTCGTGTGCCCTTGCTGCAGAAAAGTGCAATGCTCAAGGCGCCTGCGCAGGAACGTGGAGTTGTCGGCAGCGACAAGGGGACGCCTGGCTTGAAGCGCCTGTCCAAGCGCTGTGGTGTTGGCGGCGCTGCTGACGATGATGAGGATGACGGGGAGATGGCGTTGGCGGATGATGAGAATGAAGATGGCGCTCATCGCAGGCAGGTTCTGCAGTTGCTGAACCAGAGCAACGCTGCAGCTGGCGTAGAAAAGGCGAAGAGCTAGAGTGTGCATGTACATCGGCTGGCCGATGATATCCATACTTGTATCAGTCAACAACTCAGGAGTGTACTAGTTCTGTGTGACTTCTGCTGTGCAACCACCTTGTAGAGATAAGTTGTGTTTACAGATTAATTACCCCAGGACATGTTCAGCATCGGTTCATTGAGATTCGTTGGGCCCAAAATGATGATCAAACTTTGGAGTTTTGGCTTTGGAGTCTTTTCCAAAATTTTGTCTTATATAAATAGCGATTATCCTTTCATCCATGGTGCCCAGTTGCGGACCGGACCTTCTCGCTCTTGCTCTCTCTCTCTCTCTCGCCCCCCCTCCTTTTGCGCAGACATACATCTACTGTCGCTGAACGGGATCAATGATCACACATTATTGCAAGGCCACTTGCCATTTGCCTGGCTGCGGCTGTCCTGGCCTGCGGGGGCCTGCGGGGCCTCCGGCCTCGCCATGGACTGCCCACCTGCCGAGAGGGCCGCGTGGCAAGGAGGGCGTGGCCCTGGGAGGAAGAAGATCCGACACTTGGGCTGAAGACCATGTGTGAAACGGGGCGGGCCAGTTCTTGTTAGGTGTGAACGTATGGGACAATTTGCGGTTGACCCCCCAGGAACTGTAGCATTTATGACGGGTGCTTGATCTGTATACGAACATGTTCGAATTGAAGGATGTTTTTTTTTGGGCAGCTGTTCTTTCTCCGCGCTCCTTATCAGATAATTATCAATGATCATTGTGAGAACTGGATGTTGTAGAAAAAATTGTTGAGCATTTGGCTTAGCCTTTGCTCATTCTCTTACATATTGAGCCATTGCCGTCGAGAGCTGGGAACATGGGACTGCGCATCCGCGTCTCAGCGAGCTTGTCTATTCATTGTCCGATGGCCCGGAAACCGCCACACTGGCTGTGTCCAAGCTGTGCAGCGAGACGGACACGCTTTGACCGAACCTGCGGCCGAACGTGGAAGGCGAAGACACGGTCCATCCAACCGGTTTCGGTTACGACCAGGTGGTCGTACCGTTCCCCTAAGCTTCCAAGAGCCATTGGTTTCAGTTCCCAGCAGAACCATTGGTCTACACCTGTCTATTCTTAGGGTTTCAGATTACAAAATGACTACCAACCCTGGTCAACCTATTTTTTGGTCTTTGACGACTAGGGCTTCATGTCATACATGTGCTGAAGACCCCACTCCATCAGAGTTCGTTCAGACTTCGTGGTTGAGAACTCCAGCAGATGATTGACAGCGGTGAGGTTGCCATTGCAATTTCAAACGAGTTCAAGGTTCTGCACCCGAACTTATCAATTTGGGCAAAGATCGATTGTATATGATTGTACAAAGCAAGATCACCGCAAATGTGGGGAAACAGCAAAGTTTCTGCTTCTGCGTGCCATCGTGTTTTGGGCTGGTTCAAGGCGGGGCAGAACCAACCGAACATGCTGTTGAAACCGTTGGGTGACGATGTTGCCATGATTCCCCTGCAGTCCCGAAGCCACGGTAACCTGACGGGATGGACGGCCAAAATGGGCAAAAACGCCGTCCATCTGCGGCAAAAAGCCAGCAGTGGCTCAGGTATGCCAAGTGCACTGCCCTGAAACTCCAGCTGGGCATGCAATTCTCGAAGAAACTTGGCGTGGAGGGATGGACAAAGGGAGGGGCTGCTTGTGGGGCCATTGATTACGCAGGACGATCATTCATTTGCAAGCTGCCTTTGTCCTTGTTTTGGCGAAGAACCGCATAGGCATAGGGTGATTGGCGTACATGTGACAGTACATCCACTCATCAAGGCTTTTCCAGAAGCACATCTGTCAGCAGAAAAGGCACCGCTCAGGTGTATCAACAGCGACTTAGGCCCAAGGACATCAGGATCGGTTTCGAGAGATGACACATTTGTATCAGGCTTGTTGGATGTGACATAAGCTGCAACACATTTGAGGCGTATTTTTGTGGCACCATCCGAACTCTGTGAATCATAGAAGATCGGCATTGCTGTCAAGGAGGGTGAACAAGTGTTTCTTCAGGCAGGAATGCTCATTACATCTTATTACTTTGCTACCATCCCTTCGGGCCTTGGGGCTGTGGGCTTGTCCCGGGAGGTTCCAAACTTGCAAGAAGCATCGGGCTGTTTGGCCCCCAGGGGAGGGCACTAAGTGTTAGCGCACCCGCATTCTGGAAGTCTATATATTATACACCCGGGAAAATTAACATGGAACCTCAAAGTGAACCTTTGGAAGACTATTTCCCTCTACAACCTAGTGGTTTTCAGGTTCCATGGTTCCATGTTAAGTTTCGTGGGTGTACATAATATATGTTGATATATTTTGCTCAGAACTTGGCATGTCGCTCAGGAACATGCTGACAACGCTCAACAAACTGGCAGATGGGGCCGACACGTCTTCAGAGTCTTGCCAGAACCATTTATTGATTGTTCAATCGTTTTCAGACTGCCCTTGTCTTTTTTATCCGAATTAACATGGGTCATGGATTTGTTCCTGCTCTGCCGTTCATTTTTGCGAACCGGATTGCAAAGAATATTGAATATTGGCGAAGCTAGGCTAGGCTTTGTGTGGAGCAGCATTCGATCAGTATTTCATTCTGAAACTGGTTCTTAGGGATAACTTATTCTTAATTTATTGTTTTCCAGTTTGACATATTGTAGTTCAACATCCTATTGTTCGAGGGGTGTCCTGCCTAATTGAGGCCCATGACATACCAATCCCAGCTCTAGACACTAGCACTCACAATCAATCACAAGCTGCAGTCCGTGAGAGGGGCTGCAGGCGGAAGAACATAATTATGAGACGCTTCCAACGGCTCAAGTTTACCCAAAGGCTTGTGGCTAACATTTCAGGCTCAAATAATCAAGTCAATGACTGCCAGGTTTTGGGCGTTGGACTTTGCAAGCCTTTAAACCAAGACGATTTTGTTCAGTCCCATTTGCTGTTTGGGTGCGGGACTCCACCAGGATGCGGGACTCCACCAGCTGATGTTGGACGTGGTTTTGGCCCTCAAGCGCTCCGAGACGACCTGGCGCTATGCGGATTGCCGCTCTCCGGAAGGGAATGGCCCACCATAATGTGGTTTGCGAGGGTGGTAGATCTCTGGCATTATAGATTTCATTAGATTTCGGTGTAAAGTACTTGATATATTTACATATTTTTGACATGTGTTCTTTTACACTTTATTGGGTTTGAAGAGTTGCAGTGTTCTTTTCTTCGATTTTGTATGATTCTGTGCTATACATGCCATTTATTTTTAGTTGTAATCTGGACCAACTGCATGAAAGTCGGTCCTCAACCTGGAAAATCACCTCGAGCATCCCTTGGCGCACAGAACTTGGCCAAAGGAAGAATGCACTCCCAGTCACTAACATGGAAGTGGAAACTTTGACCCGCAGGTTTGATGCAAAACTTGGAGCCCCTCTGATCTGTGGAGGCTTTGCTTGCACCAATTTTGGGTATGTCCAAGTGAAGAAGGAACGTCCATGATTCCATGATGTTTTGTTTCTAGTTCAGGGTGGTTCACTATGATTCTTGGCAGTTCACCAGACAGGTTCGTCCAGGGTTCATCCTTTTGCAGAAAGGATTCCGGCCAAACGGCCGCATTCTTACTAGGAACCAAGAAGCTTTCCTACCGGGGCGATCGGACGCCTTACGACTAAGAGCGATTGGACGCTCCGAACGGGGCTGGCATCGCGAACGAAGCGTCTCCGCGGCTCGAGGCGTGCAGCTGCTCTTCGACGCCGAAGATGAGGGTCGAGCAGCGGCCGGCAAGTTGCAGCGGTGGGGCCTGGAGGCACTGGTTTGAACATTTTGAACCGAAAGCCGGTTTGAACTCCCCACCTGCAGGACCTGACCCCACGGAACTGGTGGAACTTGGAACCGACTCTAAATGCACTTGCACTTGGATGTCGAAAGTGGCTGCTGTTACTGTAATTATCCATGATTTTGGGCGCCTTGGGATGAAAACCAAGATTCCTGGGTCCTTTGGCCAGTCTTTCGAAGTTCGGGCTGTTAGGGCAACCAACCTCCTGCTCTCCAAGAAGGCATCGTCCAGACAGGGTCAGTATATTTTGGAGGACTTGAAGCGACTAGCCAGTTAGCAGCGACTGGTGTACAACACTGCTTCGCCAAGGACCGAAGATCGAGACCTCCCAACGAAGGGCATTTTGGTTCCAAAGTCACAATCCAAGGGCACCTGCCTAAATGCCTGGTTGGCCACTCCAGGCACAAGAGAAGTGGGGTGATGGCGACTGGGAGAAGGCCTCAAATCGGTTGGGAAGGGGTTGTGGGAGCTCGTGCGGCTTTCATGCAACAAACACTGCTTCTGAGCCGTCCCAGCGTCCAGGATTTTTTTGTATACTGTATGTGGCTGCGGGTCAAAACCAGGATACCTGGGTTGACCAGCCAACGATACTTGCGGACTCTGTCTGAGGAGGCGCTTCCCATGACCCTTCGGTTTCACCGGGTATCTGGGAGTGAGGATGAGTGAGGTATATACTCCAAAATGGTCTGTACACCGTTGAATACGTTCCGAGCGGTCACGATTCACACGAATTAAATGTTCCGAAAACGTGTCGAGTCTAATCGAAACGAACTAATATGAACTAATTATAACTAATTATATAGGTGCCGAGGGTGGTGTGCGAGTGTGTGAAGTGACTGTCCTTTGTTCCATGCAGCTCGAAGTTTCTTTCTGAAATGATAGCATGCGAGTAATCAAGATTCACCGGAAGGTCAAGCTAAGGTTTTTATCCATCCCCATGTATGCATTGATGTCACAGTCGTCATTGAAGTCGTTGCAAGGTGGTGCACCTGTGTTGCTTCACTGTTGAATATGCTCTTCATAGCGGTGTGCCCACCAAGCCAGCTGTACGAACCAAGTCTGGATCAAGATGCATCAGAAATGACCAGTCTCATTTCACGGAGGCTCACAGCTCACACAGCAAAAACATCCTTGGCCAAAAAGACGCTTCCTTCCTTAATTATCATAGTATTCCAGTTCAGGAGCCTCCCATATTATAACGGAACGCATATCGAACGGCTCGCATTTCCAACTGCGTGCCCCTCCTATTTCCCAGCTGTCATCCGATCATAAAACCAAGATCAATATCGATGGCTGCGAAGCCGTGACCAGCACTGAGTCACGTACGCCAACCCAACGCTGGGCTCCCTTCGTACAGCAAAACTTTTCTCAGAGAGGAGAAGGAGAAGCGCATGACGGAGTATGTAGTGGTGACGCTCATGATCAGCTGCTATGGCGCCATCCTTGAGGCTCATTGGTAGGGTGACCCGGCAGGTAGGTTAGGCACACTACTATATAAAAACATATATACATAATTATGGTTAATTATATATATATGTATGACTGTATGTAATAAGATTGTACAATTTCATGCACCCAATTGCAATTCTATCACCTCCTTTCCAGCCATCTCATTTGCAAGAGCTATTTGTGTGGCGATGGGTCAAAGCTAGGCAAACATCTACGAGCGACATGTTCGGTCATTTTTTTCCAGTCCGGGACTGCCCCAATCTAGCAAGGAACATGGCCTTCATCGTGTGTCATCGTTTTCACGTGGTCCCTTTTAAAGGCCATTATGACATTATGACTATGATATAAGAAACAATAACGATAATAAAAATCATCACCATCACCATCACCATCATCATCATCATCACCATCATCGTCATCATCATCACCATCATGCAGCTACAGACTGGCCGTATTTTCGCCAGTCCGCCAGGAGAAGGAGGACAAGATCCGCTCGGCCGCCGATGTGAAGAAGATCCTGGGTGCAATCAGCGAGGTCCAGGAGGCCAGCGGGTGGAATGCCAGCGAGATCTGGGCAGCAGGTCCAGTAGCCAGGGAAGTGTCAGATTCTCCAGTGCTGGGCGGAACGTCATGTTCATGAGCAGGCTGGCATTGTTCGAGCTATATATATATATATATTATATATACAGGTTTAAACTGGGCATGCGAACGTTGATTGGGCTAGGTGAGTGGCATTTCTTGTTTTTTTTGGATTTCATTTGCGTAAATTCAAGAATTCACCCATTTGGGAGCAGGGCTCACCTCCAACAACAAGCAGATCCTGCACCTTTGGCTGGGTGAGGCTTCAAGACACCCAGAGTGACTAACTTATCTTGCTCAAGCAGCGACAACAACACCAGCGACAGCAACATCAATAATCACGAAAGGTAGCCCTTTAGGGGATACCTTGAGTTTGTCTTGCGAAGCAAGTGTTGGGACGTCCGGGTCTAATAATTGATCGCTCAATTCAGACCCCCCCCCCCTCCCCCCCTCTAAAATCAATTCTCTCCTGGAGAACGTCTTCGTGAGCCTCTCATGATTTCAGGATAGTTGAAACCCTCTTGAACATTCAGAAAGAGTGAATATGAAATTCTAATCACGAAAGGTGTTCCCCGAGGGGATACATACCTAGAGTTTGTTTTGTGAAGCACGTCAATTCTCTCCTGGGGAGCGTCTTCGTGAGCCTCTTATGGTTTCAGGATAGTTCAAATCCTATGATGTTCCGATTCACTGCTCACCGATGATCTGAGCCATGGGGCAAGTTTGTTTTCCTAAGAATCTTTTTGAACATTTCGAGAGCATATGTTTGAACATTTAGAGTGCATATGAACATATATTTACGAAAGGTCGCCTCCGAGGGGATAAATCACCATGTCGAACATTGCATTTTTGTTCCTGCCTCTCGCGTTCTCTTCTCTTCCCGCTGTCCTACCTTTCGTGTCTCCCTCCTCTCAAGTTACAACAACAACAACAGCAGCAACAACAACAACAACAACCACAAAGACAAGGACATGGACAAGGACAAGGACAAGGACAAAGACAAGCAAAAAATGGCAGCCCTCAACACACATCTTCCTTTGTCCCTACCCTCTCCTAGAATCAATAACCACAGCCCTGCAGCTTTGTGTGGACCCCCCTCCAAAACGACAAGCCAGCACAGCACTGGTGGTGGTGGTAGTAGTAGTAGTAGTAGCAGTAGTATTAGGAGCAATGGTGGTAAGTAGTCTAGTAGTACTAGTGGGATGAGTAGTGCCACTATGTCGTAACCAACTACTACTAGTACTGCTGCTGCTGCTGCTTGTACGACAACTACCGCAACCGCGGCCACGACGAGGACTACTACTATCATCTACTATCTATGGGAATTTCTACCACATCCTAGAAACAATCACTGGAGCCCCGTGGTTGTTTTTGCACCTCCCTCTCAAAAGGAGTTGTTGTCCCTACCCCCTGCTAGAAGCAAAGACCAGAACACCACCTCAAAAACACTAAAACAAACCATTCAGTGAAATAAGTCCAACATTGTCCAACAAGTAAGCCCAACTACTCGGGAAGCCAACATTCCGCCAAACCTCCAACCATTTTACCGTATCCCTAACCTTGCTCCCTTGAAGTTCCAGAGTTGCAACATGTGACAACCATGTTGGGCGGCTGTTTGTGGTTCTAGCACCACCACCACCACCACCAACAGCAACAACAACAACAGTGGACCAATCAGGGGGGTAATCATCATTTTACTGTAATCACTGACAGCGCCCAACCACATCCAGGTCCCATTGAATCAACCTGGTGCCCGCAGAGATCTAAAGGGAACAAGAATCTAAAGTTGCAAATGGAGGTCCCCTGTCCCATTGGCACGACCAAGAGGATTCCGCCATCATGAGTTCTTGTAAGCAATGAGTGGCAGTGTTCTCGATGGTTCTACTCACCAATGCCCCAAAGACTGCCCCTGAAAAAAAAGTCAAACCAATTCGAGTCATACCACACCACCTGTGCTAGGAGTGTCCAGACACTTTCTATCACCAAAATTGTGCTATCTCACCAGGGCAGAGAGAGAGAGAGAGAGAACATGGAGAACCATCATGAGCCAACCATGTAAAAGGGCCCCGAGGTTCTCCACTGGTTCATCCCCAATGACTTCGTTCAGGATGAGCTGCTACAGCTGGACGTCCAGTGGATCCCTGAGGAGGCCTTCTTCTCCGTTGGGCGGGGAGGATGTCTGGCGTGAGCGGATGATGTCAACCGTTGTGACTGGGCACACCGCAATGGTCGCCAGGTATGCGACGTTTGCTGCATTCTGGGTAGTTGATTCAGCGATGGCTGCTCAACAGTTCACATTGCATGATATAAAGGCCAGCATGGAGGACATAGCCGTCTGAAGGACCATTAGGAAGCTACCCTTCAAACACCAGACTGGTTTACGTGCCCGACAAAAAGAGGTTGCTCTGAACACCTGGATATATATATATATATAGATTATAGATCCTTTAAATCTTTGGTTTAGATTCAGATTCAGATCGGTATCATTATAGTTAACCATTTTCAATCTAAGCTGTCTTCCGGTGTCAGCTTTTAGCTTATTTCAGCTCCCCCTCCGCCTGATATTGCGAGCCGTTCGTGCGCCATTCCCCCGATGCGCGCGGGTTCCCGGCGAAGCCGTGGGCATCCCACCCATCGATCGGTCCCGAGGAGGGCGACTCCCTCTCCGCCATGGAAGTCACGATGAAGTTCCCAGAGCTGGTGATGATCTAACGCAGCCGCCTCGGCAACACGTGCGACACGAAAAGTAGGGAGGGGGGTTGTGGTGTTGTTAGCTCTTGTGTGCTTTGATCCTTTGACGTCGGACGACTTCGGCACCGAGGCTTTTGGCCGCTGAAGCCTGAAGCCACCACGGTCGCTCGACCGTCGCTCAGCGTCGACCCATTCTTTGGGCGACCGGACGAGCACGGTCGCTCGCGGAGCCCCCACACCGCGGAGCCTTAAAGGTCCACGTAGTACCGTACTTCGATCATTTTCGATCTATCCTTCGCACATGTTTGATCATGTTTGGTCTATGCTAGGTGGGATTTGTTGCCCTCAAGGCATGGATAGGCGGTTGTGCGGGGCAGGTGGGTCAACAACTTATTTAGATTATTTAGCACCTTTGTGCATGCCAAATAGGTTAGGGGTGTGGCTGCTGCTGGCCCAGTTTGTCCCATCAGCGAACCCTTTTTTTGGTCTTTCAGGGGCTCGATGGCTTTAATCCTTCGACTATTACTTGAATATTCAAGGTAAGCTGTCATTTTCAGGCCACGAACAGTTGCTTGAAGCCGAAGGACTTCACTTTGACACATACGGCACAAGGACACAAACTGTAGCTTAACAGTTATATTATACTTATACAGTTTTCCATGTTTCTGTAACATATCACCCATTATGCAACTTATTTAGCAGCTGGACAAGTGAATCACCGTTTCTATTTGGCGACCCATCTCTTTGGGACTTGAAGACTTCGAAGTCTCATCTCTTTGGGGTTGAGATGATCTCCTGGCCGAGCCGATCTCCCATTTTTGATTTGCCAAGCGCGGTGACGGTGGGAGCGCACCGATTGTGCCTCAGTCTTGCGACGCCAAGGGAGGAGCGGGTCACAAGAGAATGCCCTATTGCACCCCGACAATAATGAAGACTAACATAGAGCTTGACAAGACCGGAGATATGGCGTCATGAAATATGCAGCATCATATTATGAGTTCTGGCGCCATTGTTCTTGTTCTTTCGATTGCATTGATCTTTGAAGAACCATTTCTCAGGAAAACCATCGGACAACATGTCCTTGGACAGGTTTTTGGACAAGAAGATTACACATCGTGGCAGGTGCATGACTGCTCCTTCCCAAAAAAACTTTTAGTAGGGTTGCTCGATATTGCTTGGACTAAAAAGATGGCACCTACCACGGGGGTGGGGCAGGGTTTTCAGTGAACTCTTCATGCTTCACAGCATTCTTGATGTTTTCACTGAGGTTGTGGGAGATGTTGAAGGTTGCATGTCTTCACGAGTGGTTGGTTCAATCCATCGGCTTCAGAGTATGAGGAGAACTGGAAGGAAAGGCATATTGCTGGGCCCCCACCTGTGCAGTCCTGGACCCGGTGAGAGGGTACAATCCTTGAAACACTGGACCTTGACCTCTTATTGTATACAAATAAGATGTTGACTGTTGATGGGTAAATCTGTAAGGAAGATGAGCTTGCTGGCCAAAGTTGAAGTATACTGGCTAAACAGATCATGATGTGTGGCCATGCTGTTTGCTGTGTGGTTGGTGGTCTCCTTTTCGGCTCAAATGCAGTCGGTGGCCAGCCGCATTCAGCGAGGGAGTCGGTCTTTTTCCTCATATCCGGGGCAAACCACATGATGCAAAGGTGATCTCGCGTGTTTTTCGATCGTTTTCGGATTTGCTTCGACACACTCGACTCATCTCCCTCGACTCATCTCCTCACCCATGATCGCCGATTGTGCTGCAGGCCATACGCGCGCCGAAATGGGTGTTGTCCATCACCCTCAGTTTTTTCGAATGAAGAATCCATAAGAATCCCACGGTGGGGCCCCACAGGTTGCACTCTCAGCTGCATGGGAAAAAGGTTCGCTACGAACGGGGGCTCCTGGCCTTACTACTACGAGTAAGGACGCTACCAGGGGCTCCTGGCATCGCTACTAGGAACAATAAAGCCACTAGTTGTTTTTAGGGCAAAGGCCAAAGGGCCAAAGAATCCCAAAGGCCGCTCACATCATTTTCCATGCCAAAGTGGCAGTGGACCCGGCTTGAGCTGGGAGAACTGGGCAGTATTTGTGGGTATTCACTCGATCTCGACTTACCCAGAAACCTTCGGTGGACTACCAGGAGCGATTCAAAGGTGCGAGCAAGTCGGTGTGGACTCGCAAGTGGTGAAAACTCATCCAGGGGATTCAATGCACGCTTGGTGGTTCAAACAGCCGTCCTGCTGCATAAGTTCCTTGTGTGTCTCATCGATGTGTTTCCTTAGAATGTCATAAAGAATTGCCCCAGTTTTCTGAAGTACAAACCTGTCGCAAAAAAATAAATCCCAGTGACGAAGTGACAAGGACTTACAGTACCTAAAACTTGAGATGGACCCTTTGTCAGAGACCTTGCCCAGATATTCCATGGACACTGGCAAGTGCTGTGCCTAGTCAGTAAACAATCTCAGGGCATCAAGGCAACCCCGCTAATCCCAACAACATGTGTATATATATATATTTTTTTTTTCCTATTGCGTATGGCGCATGTGAATACAATCTCCTAAGATTCGATTTGTCCAGAACCATGGTGGGTTTGGTGTAGTCATGGTGGGTTTGGTGTAGTCTTAGAGCTGATGCTCTTCGTTGGCCGACAAGCTGAGTATGAGCATGAAGCTTACATCGGCTGAGGACGAGTTCACTGCTTCAGTCGTTACCTTGCTCTGGTGCAAGCAATGCTGATCATGACGGCCCCCAAATGAATAAAACATTGAACCGTCTATGTGGAAACATTGTGACTATCTATGTGAGGAACAGGGAGAACAGAACATGACATATACACACCACTATCCCGGACAACCAGTTTCACAACACCTGATTCAGACCGCGCAGGCTACTCCCGTCGGGCCACCCTCAATGGAGTGCTGCGAGATGTTTGTTCCGCCTGTGCGAAGGGGAATCTTGGCATTTGGGGCTGAAGCCAAAAGATGGAAACCCATGGAAAGTATCCAAACCAATGGAACAAATTTCCGATACACTTGAATCGGATGGGTGACTTTCTGTTTGAGTGTCATTGTTTGTCAATCTAGCTGCAGCTAGGAGGGCAGGAGGGCACGCCACTGTGCTACTAGTAGGGGCGGCAGTTCTTCACTTCTTCACCATAAAGGAGCCCAAGACCTGCAAAGAATTCCTGATCTATGTAGGGAAGTTACACTGTACTCGTGATGACCAATGGATCACCGTGATGTCCTTTGTCGAAAGTCCCCGCTTGCTGAATGTGAGGCATTGTGTCATTCATGTTCATCTCCACCTGCAGAGACCACCACGGATTGGTTCAAGATGGATTGAGTTTGTGTTTTGGTATAGTATAGTGTCCCAGATGGTCCCGCTGTTTCTTCCAGCTGACTGTCGGATGAATCTTCACGCTCGGCTTGTGCGCAGACGTTTTTGGCTCAGTCAGAGGTCTTTCAGAGTGTTGCCCTGTACTCCGGCATGTGATTGTGGCCGCAGATCAGAGTGAATATTGGAAGGATTGGCCACCCTGCATTTTGGGAGTCTGAAGGCCTTGCCTGGTTGGTTTGACACAGCTTTTCCACCAAAATTTGGTGTGTCCTCAACTGACTTATGTTGCTGGGTGGAGCTCGTGGGTTACACCCAGCTCACCGTCCGCTTTTTCGGCATGTGTTTGCCACCAGCTTCAACCCAGAAGAACTAATGAGGCCCACAGCCCTCTCTCGCCCTGACTGCACTGCATGGCTCTCACTCGCCCTAGGCCCACCTCTGGCAAGTTCGCAAGCGACAGCCTTTTGCTCTCCTCCTCAGCCACGGCCCTCTTGTTCAAGCTCTCGCAGAAGACCAATGAAGAGGTCTGGGAGCTGGACGCGCGGAGCGGCTTCGGGGGGGCACCCCTTCAAAAGTCACTCCACTTTTTTGCAGATAATTATAGTAATTATAGCTATATATTACTTATATTATAGTTATAATATATATATATAATGTTATTTAATATTTAAGATGCATATACTGTTAAATATTTCTATATATACACACACTATTGATTATGTAGATTGCCTTTGGTTGGGTGGTTGAAGCATGTGGGAACTTGCGGTTCAGCCGCACCAGGGCCACCCACCGGGTCACCCCATCCGGTCACCCGGGGATATGATGCTGCCGTGCGGTTTGAGGCGGTATGAACCAGTAAGGTCAGAGATCTATAAGAAGGCATTCCAATGCTGATGTCCCTAAACAAAAAATTATTTAGTTGCTATTTATATGTATATATAGTAGTTGTTCCCCAAACAGGTTCATGCATTTAGGAGTTCTTACTCCTTTGAAAGAGTGCTGTTGCGGGTCATAGGGCGGTTTTCCCAGCTTGTCTCTGGCTGAGAGGCATCAACAAAAACACACAGGGATCAAAGAAAACGACAAAACAAAAAGGGATCAAGAAGAAACCAAAAGTAGGAAGGAAAGCAACAAGGAAAGAAGAAAGAAAAGAACAGAAACGAACAGGAAGAAAAGAAGGAAGGACCTCCAATAAGACAATAATACATAATAATACATAGTTACTGTAATAAGACAATACATGGTCCGCAAGGTTCCGCTATGAATTTGCATGGAACAGAATGCGCCTGCCATGAAATCCATCATTTTTCTCCACCGCCACTACTACCGCTACCGCTACCACTACGACTACTACTGCTACTGCGACAGACTACTTCGGCAATGACAATTGCGACTATATACGACTACTGCTCCTACTACTCCTCCTGCTAGTCCAGCACCGACTCACCACTACACGCTACTGCTATTTCCTTTTTTTGGTTATCCTTCCTCTTCTTTTCTTACTTATGTTCCCATTGCGAGTCACTGCGACTGCGCACACTACCTCCTTCTTATTGTCTTGTGGATTCCATGTTGTTTGTTTTGATCCTGGTTTGGCCTTTCGTGTTGTTCAAAAGTTTTCTTTTTTGTTTTTTCTTGTTTGATCATTGTTTTTCTTTGGGGGTGATGGGGTGGTCCCAGCCATCAGCAGAGTCGTGCAGTCGTGCTCGCTTGTGCTGGAGTGCTGGGGTCGTGATCGTAAATAGGACCTGGCAACTGAAGTCATGGATCGTCGAACAGTCGGGGTTCTGCAAAACCTCTGTTGAATGGCTAGTGGTCCAAATGGCCGGCTTTCTGTTGGTCCTTTTGGGCGCACCACAGGGCCTAGCTAGATCTAGCTGGATGCTAGACTGACCTCGTCTGTGACGCGTGAGAAAACAACACGTTCTTCCGTGGCATCTGAAGGTTACGATGCCTGGGTGGTTCGGACCTCGGTCCTGCTATGCCTCGGTCCTGGTAGGGACACCCCTGGTCCACTTGTTTCAAGCTCCATCCATTGGCCTGGAGTGGCACTGGGTGAAAGAATGGGGGAATGCATCTCTATTGGAATCCCTCCTGGGAACTCAATTCCCAAAATATTACCACGAGTCGCACCGGTCAGTCGACAGGAATTCCTGAACATTTTGCACAGCTCCTTGGCATCTGAAAGGCACGAGACGAGATCGGCCGGCAAGCCCTCGAAAAGACTGTCACTGCCGTGATGTAGATCGATAGGGTGACCAAGAATCACTGATTGAACACCATTTTGGGGAACCGTTCTTACTGTTATTGTAAGGGCTACGCCCCGTGCCGCCGACCCCAGCGAGGGGGAGAAGGGTCGTGG